GATAGGATCAAAAAACATGTATCAATATGTACGGTGTTTTTCTTTCATCTTTCAATGACAATGTTATTACGCTTATCAGACAATATGAAAGGAATTTACTGAAAAATATATAGACAAGACTTCTCTATATTATTTAATGAAACATGCATCAATGAAAAATGCTGCCTAAATACACGCATATATATATATATATATATATATATATATATATATATATATATATATATATATATATATATATATATATATATATATATATATATATATATATATATATATATATATATATGGGCGTGTTTCTAAAAATAAATACGCTAAAATCCACTTTCGTCCCTAACGTACGCCGGTGGCTTAATGGTTAGAATCTCCAACTGACAGCATGTCAGTCGGGTTTCGATCCTACCTAGATGCAACCAGATGTCTAGCCGCACTGATGAGCTTCGAAACAGTCTGTATGTGGATGACGTTATATATATTAGTTTTAATGGCAATATACACACCCTAAATATCGAATTAAAAACTACTTATCTGCTGAAAGTTATTGACTTACTGTAAAAGTCAGGATAGAAATTACATCACTCTATAATGGGACATTCAAAAGTGTATTCAGAACCCATAAAACATCAATTACAGGTTTAGGTTTACATGTGACCAGAAACTAAAATCAAATATCTGAGATGATGAGTCCAGCTGTAGCCGTTATGCTTTGATCCTTTTTCGCCATATATATAATGCTCTTCATTATCGAACGCTCTGGTCGTAGTTAATACTTATATCACGTATATAATTCCATTTCTCTGTAGTTTGCGCTGATGACCTGAAAGTGTTCAACTGATGTGAAATCGGTCGGGTTTCGATCCCGGCTTGAAAGAAATTGCATGTCTCGCCATTCTCATGAGCCGTGAAACAGTCTGTCTGTGTATGACTTTATGTACGATATGATGGTATAATTTTCTTTTTGACAAAAGAAGTACTTACTCTAATGCTCAGTGTTAAATCTTTTGTTTAACATTTTGTTTAAGAGTTGTATAACATTTCTTATATCTAATTCTATTTTGAATCGACCCTGTGAATTCCCAACAAAGATATTTCTCTATACCAGCAATGAGTAACAGAGATTTAAGTATGGAAACATGTCGTGACTTGAAATCCTAGAAATATTTGATATTTTTTAAATTATCTTTTACTTTTTTTTGGTTTGTTTTGTTTTGTTTAGTTTTGTTTTACGGCACATCAAACTCAACGGGTTATTTAATTCCGACAAGATATTTATTGTTGGTATTTTTTTTTTTTTTTTAAATCATGCTGGTCATAGTTTTTTCCAAAAATGTATTACTGGTAATATTTTTTCTTCAAAAATGTATTGATGGTAATATTTCTTTTTTAAAAAATGTATTGCTGGTAATATTTTTTTTTTTTTTAAATGTATTGCTGGTAATATTTCTTTTTTTAAAAATGTATTGCTGGTAATATTTCTTTTTTTAAAAATGTATTGCTGGTAATATTTCTTTTTTAAAAAATGTATTGCTGGTAATATTTCTTTTTCCCAAAATGTATTGCTGGTAATAATTTTGTTCAAAAATTCATTGCTGGTATTAAAATCTATTTTTACACTTTCATAGTGTTTTGACCCTAATTTGGGGCTTAATATTTGCCCATAGTTGAGACCCTAACAGGTGTTACCACCCCAGGTCAAGGTGCACCTATGAACACCAGCGATTAAGACGTGGTTCCACGTTTCTCAAAACCTCCTAATCAGAGGCCTTGCTGTCGGATGTAGTTTATCGTCTTACCCAGGAAACATACATAGTTTATCGTCATACCCAGGACGCGGATGTACTTTATCGCCATTTCCAGGACAGTTGCTTTTTCTTTTTTTTTAAATTAATCCGATAGGCTATGGTAAATATTCAATTTTTAAATAAACTTATTGCTGTATGCGACAGATTTTATCAATGTTTTTTAAACGACCGATTTTATTACTGTTTCTGAAATTAATAAACAATTCACACGGTATTTTTTTTTTTCATGAGAGGTTATTTCAGTAAATGTAAGTAAAATCCGAATCAAATCATTCATGTATAAAATATATTGTTACATTTTTTTTTTTTAATTCTTCGATAATTATCATCACCACCTCAAGAAATGAATTACTATATTTGCCGGCATATAAGACACACTTTTGTTTCAAATTATTTAAAACGCTACACCGTCTTTAGGCCTCTGATGTTCTGGGTAGGAAATCGAGCATTAATAGCTTCGTGACCCCGACGATTTACGTTAAGAAGAAGCCGACACCCGTTTATACTGATAATAGGCGCGTCTTATACGGCAGCAAACTAGATCACAAAATGATATTCAAAGCACATTAAAACAATACAAATAAGTAGGAGAATCTGGCTTGCCTGATGATCCGTTTTTTCTTGATTGGTTGGAAGATGCATCAACTGAACAACAAAGAAAATAGAAGCTATGATATCTGCAGTCTTTTAAGTATATATACTGTACATGGATGATGCAAAACATTCCTATCACTAGGTTTCGTAAATTAAATATATACATTTATTCATTGCTATATTACTTTAGCTTGCATCGTTTGGAAGGATTTTTTTTTGTATTTTGCAGAAAAAGAGAATCAAGGAAATAAAAGAAAAAGAAATAAAGCGTTCAATAACTTTACTTTTTTTTTGCTTAATCAGAACTAAAATACAGATTCAAATTGACAACAGAGAACTACAGACTTGGACAAAACTTTAAAAACCACATGGCAAAAAAATAAATAAATAAAAAAATAAAAAATAATAACATTATTGCAGTATATGTCATCATCCACTTTTAGCTTATATAAATTGAGTATTCCTGTCATATCTGTAACTGGTGCTGCACAGTCTTCACAAAAGTTTTAAAATGATTCCGCGGCCTTATGAGGGATGGATGATTTCCCATCCTACAGCCTCTTTCCCCACAGTCAAAACTACTCTATCGCTATTTCGTTCAGACGAGCTATAATCTTTAGTTCCGCCTGTTCAGAGCTTCGCAATTAAGACTCGCCATATCGCGAACACGGCATCAACTTCATTCCCTTCATATTCCATTGGTAAGGAGGAAGCTTCATTTCAGACAGCTTCTTCCTCAGAACTGTTAATTTGAAGAAAATATTCCCGAGCGGATGCTTCCCCGGCCACTACAACCTTAACGTCTTCAATTCGACGGTCAAACTTTATCTATTCTACATATCTTCAAAATATACATTTCATACCTCTGTACGCCTCAACAACCTCACTCAGTAAATCTCTGTTTTGTGTGTTTCTTGCGCCTTGCATTAGTTGATTAGTGGAATAGACAAGCTAGAAATAAACTGCAATTATACATCTTCCTCAACTTTGAAACACAGTAATACAAGAGTTTTTTTTTTTTGTTATTTTGAAATCTGTGATGGTCTTCAGGAGAATAGTTTTCAGTGAGTTTTATACCTTAAAGATGGGCAAAAATCTTCACTTTCTGACATTCAACGGAATCAAATAGTAATGTTACGCGCAGAGGGATACACACAGCTTTAAATCTCTGCCCTTAGGAGTTGTTTTGAGATTGCAGTTCACAACGTTATCGCTAATTACCAAGCTGAGTTTTTTTTTATTCCGTCCGAAAGAACATCCCAAAAATTTAATTCCTTAAAAAAAAAAAAAAAAAAGTATTAATAATCGCTTTCCATTGTTTTCACGATTTCTAAGTTCATGTGAAAAAATAAATGAAGCTCCTCCTCTTCTCAGGGGTACAGATGCAATTTGCAGGACTGTTTTAAGCAATTTGACCAATTAATTCTACAGCTGGCCACTTGTATTCGAGGATACTGGTCTAATAGGTCGATTAGCCAATGCCCGTTGCAGACGCTTGCTCAGGTATTTGCTCTGTGGTTGTTTGTTCAACACCATCTGTGGTTTATACTGCAACTATGCTGAACAGACCTTAGTTACAGTGTCTGGGAAAGAAGCGTGTTATGTAGCGTGGCCAACAATCTGATCAAGGTCAGCATGCTCGGATCCTCGGTCACGATGACTTGTGACTTCGTGCTAGCACAGCTATCGCCGGCTCCCGAGGTTACCGTCTAGCCAATTTCACTCACAAAGCCTGGGTCAACCCGGAGTATAGTATTCAGGCCCTTTCTAAAGGTGCTACACGCCAAGATCGCCCCCGTCCAGACAAATCGACCATGGTGACATTCGAAATTGGGTCTTATGGTCAGAAAGCGAACGTTTCAACCATTCGGCGTCGTGTCCATAATAAATGAATTACAAATAAGCAATCTGCAAATCTTGCCCGGAAACCAAAACTAATTTTGAAAATCACAAGAAGTGTCTGATAGTCAGCAAGAAGCATCAATATTAAACAGAGGGAAAAAATAAGAAAACCTGTTCTCTGATGAATTCACACTGCAACAGCTTTTTTGTGGGTCTGTATTATGCCAAAAAGTCTCCAAGAAAGAGATCTAGAAATTATATAATACAAACTATGAAACACCTCCTTACATAGATGAATTTAGAACAGTTTATACACCTTGGACTCTGAAACAAACATGAACAGTTAGTAATATGTGGAAATATTCGTGCAGCGTGGTGAGACATATCTTTTGATCGCAGCTTACCAAAGGAGAAGTAAACCGACTCCTTCCTTCCGCTAGGTTGAGGTGAGACCCTGAGCAACTCTTAGAAACACGTGAGTTCCGCGGACTTGGGATACAGTGAAGCCAGTGGCAGCAGTCTGGTGGATTGCTTCTGCTTAGCGCTGTCCCCATCAGACTGTTATGTCAGCACTTATCTCTTCGGGAGGCGGAAGAGGTCTCTCGCAGAACCAACGGTTGGTGATACCTACCTAGTACAGTTAGGACGCTACTGAGCTAATCCTTCCATTGTACTGCTTTGGATTTCCATGGGATCAGGTTCTAGTCAAACCGGGGCGTGTTACTGTTGGTGCAAGGCGACATTTTTGGCCCTATAATCCAGAGCCGACAACGAGGAGAAGGAAAAGTCAAAGTCTTGTGCAATGGAAGCGATGATGAGACGGTCAAAAAACTCCGCTATAAAGACTACATCAAAAGGGACCTGAAAGCGATGGAAATCGATGTAAGCAGCAGGAAACAGCTGGCTGCGAGCCGCCCTGCATGAAGTCGAACGTTTCATGCTGGATTAGAAACAATCGAAGCTTCGAGGCTGGACAGCTACGAGAGAGCATCAGCTCAGAGATATGGCCGTCACACGATTCAAACCGCTTGACCTAGATGAATCTCCTTCTTGTGCCTATGTCGAATACGACGGACACTCGCTGTATTGCAGTACGAACTATAGATTCGCATGCGCAAATATGGTTTCAGCATATTTATACCTCATGCTACAAAGAAAACCGCAATAATAATTTTAAATGTCTATTGTCATTTCGTTGGAACGGCTAGATGGGATTTGTGGGATTACATGAAGGATAAGTTTGCCAGACTGAGATTTCAGCAGATTATTGTCAATCTCATAACCAGCTATAACTAATAGTGGCAGATAAGTTCGCCTATCTTCCGGGTCACCCTTCCCCAACAAGTCTTTTGAAAAGGGGTAGATGTTTATCCCTTGTTTCCTGTTTATGATCGGGTTTCCGATTCTTTCTAAAGACTACTTCATTTCTATACTTCTACCATCTTCGCTTGAACCCTGAAGTTTTATTTACTTTTTTCGCCTCATTAGAATAAGATAGGTTCGCCTATCACTGGATCATACCCTAATCGGTCTTTTGAACATGGGTAGAGGTTCATTTCTTGTTTTCTGTTTAGAATTAGGTTTCCGGTTCCTGCTAAGGTCTTCTCTTTCTCTTCCAATATCCCCTGGCACCTTAGTGGCATTATCGCCTTGTTTTGGGGGGTGAATTGATTAAAAAATCTCATTGTATTGAATCGTTTATAAAGGCAAAACGTGGACATAGAAAATACAAGTTTATATTGAAATATAAACTGCTTTTAATAAATATGATACATTAGAATCAGTACTACCTTTAAATTTTTGACTATATTTTAAAATTATTCAAATTTTGGGCTATTTAGAGTGTTTGGTTTAAAAATGTTGGGAGGTCTTAAATTTTTGCCCACACTTGTAAAGCTGACTCGGCTTGTCGTGTAGTGGGTATGAGCATAGAAATATGGTATTGACAAACTGAATTAAAAAAAAAATATTGGAACTGCATGGATTACTTCCTTCCTCTTAAGCAAGCGGCCATTAGGCGGGAAGACTTTACCATCCTTCCTTAAGAAGCAACTAGCCCAGGAGAAGGAAAATTCTGAATTCATGATCAGCCTAAAGAACGCAGCCACCATCGGGCTATCTTCCCTTAGACATGCCATTGCTGCTACGGCTGGAAGCTGTGTCCATATGACCATAATGTGTTACGGGATACATGACGTGAAGAACTAACGCTTATGATAATTATGCAATAATATTTACAAATATGGCTAGCGATGATTAAGAGAAAGAAAATGGGTAATTCTAACTCCAGAACATATTATTTTAGAAAACGTTAGAAAATGAAAAAAAAAATTCATTAATTGGAAGAATTTAGTTTCGGAAGGCATGATACACTTTCAGAATGATGATTAGGTGAAAATTCAGCCTATTCAACTAAATTTTCTCTGGAATAGAAAAGAACATTTCACGACCATGAAAATCGATAATAGATTTTGCATGGAGAGCGACCCTCGTCTTCTCTTCATGTTACAAATGTGACGCAGTAAAAAAAAAAATCACATAGCTAGGAAAAAAAATGTTTTCCACATGCAGCATAAGTTTTTACACCACGCCTTTCAACGATCAAGCGTTTTCGACATGCAACACATCTTATGGAATTAGCTATTCCAAAGAATTGAATTCTTCCAAAGGATTCCTCAGAAACAGATTGAATCTTTGATAATGGATTGCACAATTTACATACAAAGTGGTGTAAAGTCGCGGAAAGCCAGGGAAAATCCAGTTATGGACAAATAATAATACTCATAATTTATAATAATAAAAGACTTAAAATCAATGCTGGAAACTTTTGCATCAACCCATATATATATATATATATATATATATATATATATATATATATATATATATATATTCACAACAATATTATCCACATTTAATAAATTGTTTTTCGATATTTTCGTTAATTATGATTATACAAACAATTTTTAAAAACGTAAACCTTCATAATTTGGGTATGGCAAAAATAAATGACCATTGTCAAACACAAATTTTAAAATCTTGTAATTTCAACTCAAAGAAAGCATTATTAGAATAGACGTAATTTTTACAGCGAATTTACTTCATCACGATAAAAATACAACAATAAAAGTCTCGAAAAATTGGCGTAAAGAATTTTTGACTGGATCTACACTTATTGCATATCTATATCTATATCTATATATATATATATATATATATATATATATATATATATAAAAGTGAACATAAAAGTCAACACTTC